CTTTGCCAAAGGAAGCTCTTTTCCAGAGAGGGACAGAGGGCAGGGGTAGGTAGCAAGCTGCTCATCAGCCCCACCAGGAGGTGACGGAATATCACCATGGATACAGGTTCCCGACAAGGTTGTTATACCTTGACAGCACAGGAAATGGCAGTTCTGGCAAGCAAATAGCACCTAACCCTCGAGGCGCTGTCTAGCTTTCTGGACCATGGGTCCAGAAAGAATGCAAACAGAAAAGGCAGGGAACGTGGCCGGAGAGGATGAAGCAGCACTAAAGCACCCCTCGTCCTTCAGGAGAGCAGGTTCCACTGGCCAAGCTGCCCATCGGTGGCTCTAGGCTTGCCAGGAAACGTGCAAGGCACTGCCCATGCACCTTCCTGTGGCTCACAACCTTGTCTGGCCACAACAGCCCAAACGACAGGGATACCCGTCAGGGGATCACCCAGGCTACACCCGCAGCTGCTGGGGGCTCAGCCAAGTGCAGCTGCCATGCTACTGCTCCCGGGAAAGAGACCTGGCCTGCCGTCTCATCTAAACAGAGCGGGTGTCAAGAACCTAACTCCTCCAGACCAGGTCGGACACAGCCACCAGCACAAAGGCACCTTCTCCTGCACCGACAGGTTGAACTTGGCCTGGAGGCAGTTTACTCTGACGGACAGGCCACAGCTTCCCCACCCCAAGTCTTCTGGTCATTGCTGCAGAAACCAGCAAGAGAGATGGACACAGAGCCCAGGGCTCGGCAGATGCTGGATGGCCCTAAATGTTGGCACCTCCCTGAATACTATGGGAGCTTTGTCTGTACTCCTTTCTCACACTTCACTCAGGCTCTGCCTGCAAAAACACCCTTTCCCCCATCTTGCCCAGCCTCCTCCTCTCCGCACAGCCCCACATCCCTGGTCATTTGTCCCCGAGGGTGGCACCTGGGCTCTGTGGATGTCAGCCAGCTCACCTTATTGCTGGGAACAGATGTGAGACACGCTCCACAGCCAGCTGTTGGGAGGCAGCGCATCTGTGCTATCAATTAAAGCAAGGGACACACGGGGCAGGAACCTGGTGTAGTGGTCCAGGTTGGGATGCTCACAGCCTCCCAATGGAGTCCCTGGCTGATCCCACCTCTGCTTCTGTAACCCAGTTTCCTGCTGGTGCACATCCCTGGTGGGGTGGGGGTGGGGACGGCAAGTGATGGCTCAGGGAACCGAGTCCTGGCTACCCACATGAGAGAACTGATTTGAGTTCCAGGCTCCTGCATTTTGCCTGACTAAATTCCTAGCTGTTGTGTGTATTCAGGAATAAACAAAAAAAAAAAAAAGGGAAAAAAAGAAATAGTTATAGCTGTTTCCTTCCTCTTAAAATACGTTCCACCATAGGCCCGGCAGTGTGGCCTAGCAGCTAAAGTCCTCGCCTTGAACACGCCAGGATCCCATATGGGCGCCGGTTCTAATCCCGCCAGCTCCACTTGCCATCCAGCTCCCTGCTTGTGGCCTGGGAAAGCAGTTGAGGATGGCCCAAAGCTGTGGGACCCTGCACCCATGTGGGAGACCCGGAAGAAGTTCCTGGCTCCTGGCTTTGGATTGGCATAGCATCGGCCGTTGCGCTCACTTGGGGAGTGATTCATCGGACGGAAGATCTTCCTCTCTGTCTCTCCTCCTCTCTGTATATCTGACTTTGCAATAAAAATAAATAAATCTTAGAACAAAAAAGAGCCATGGCACCAATGGTATTTCTCTTCATTGGAAAATGCGGGTTTGTGTGCTTTATGATGGCAGCCTGAACAGACTGGCTAGTTAGCTTTCTTAACAGTTTCTGGACTAGTTGCATGGTAGAGACGTGCACAAAAATCAAGGAAAACATTTAGGGAGCAGCGTGACTGTGAACTCTGGGAATGGGGCAGTTCCAGAGAGGTGACATACAGCGACACAGGGATCTGCACAAGGTGACGGATGGAGCAAAAGTGGCCGCAAGACACAGCCGGGACCACCACAGCACTAGGCAGTCAACCCCAACCAAACGAAGCCGTGTCATTCAGGAACACCTGAGCGCATGGCAAGAACAGACATCTGCCAAGAGGGAGGAGCCTCCCAACATCACACTGGGGGCTCAGTCAGATACAAGGACCTATTCTATGATTATCAAAAACAAGAAAAACAAAAAACCCACCCATTTGGATATATTTCAAATGTGTCATATTTCATCGTCTGTACAACAAACTACTACGAAAAAGAAAATAGAACCACTACCTCACCTCCCTGGTTAAGTTCCCCCGTGACACTGCATCACTCACTTGTGAGCCCAGTGGCAGTAATGAGAACAGCTCATCCCTCATCAACTCCTGCCACCTCCAGGGCCAGTGAGACATGGTGACCTGGGTACAGCCAGTCAGTCTCCACCTCCTGTTCGCAGGAAAAAACACACAAGAGATGCCTCTTCTACCCGGCAAGGATCTGTAAAGCTCTCGTGTCTGTTCCACGCTGAGTTTTGGAGAATGGATGTTCATTTTTGGTCTCGAGAGCCAGAGCGCCCTAGCTCCCAAACACTTGGGGATGGAACCGGACGAAGGCAGAAGGCAAGAACATGACCCAGGCCACCCACATGGGTGGCAGGGACCCTGTGGCTTGACTGTCCATTGAGTGTACATTAGCAGGGGAGGCCCTGGGGAGCTGGGCTGGACCCCACACGCTGTTCCCGGGCTCCCGGCTCCCAGCGCAGCTATGGGGGTCTCTGTTCTGAGTCCGACTTTCTGCTCACTCCCATGTGTCCCCAGGAGTGAGGGCTCATGGAGGGGCTGGAGCCAGCTGGGGCCCCAGGACGGATACCCAGCAATGCTGGGTCAGGATGGAGTCCTCTCATCCTGTACCAGGCCAACCCAGCACCCCCATCTACGAGGGAGTCGGTTCTGTCACAAGAAATGGGGTGGCGGGACAGGCATGGGAGAGAGACCCAACTCCTTCAAAACATTCAACAGTTTTCAAAACACAGCGAGGCCGACAGCATGCTCACAGGGGATAAAACCAATCTGCTGCTTCCTGCCCCATCCTCACATTGCTAACAGCCGGTTGACTTTGGAACAATTCTTCATCCTTTCCTCCCATTTGGAGAATATAAAAGACTATACGTTCTTAGACTCAACAGGGGATTCAACCCCATACAGGGAAATAACCCCTGCCATTTGGCTCCTGTACAATGATGAAATGTGCAAAGGTTAAAAAAAAAAAGAAAAATTATCTTCTGATCAGCCCAAGTGCTCTAATAATGTAGATCAGTAAAGACAGCATACTTGTAGCATGGAACTTTCCAGAAATACCACTTTAACCATTGGAGCTTCTATTTCCTCTTTTTTATCTTCTGAAAATTCACTTTTCCAAGAAGCCATCACGGCACATAACTAGTGAATAACGTGAATTATTAGGAAGACACAGAAAAGGACAGAAAATCCAGGAGAAAAAAGTCCCAGATAAGGACACACCAATATCCAATGCTGCCTCTCATGAAATCCTCATAAGTCCAACTCTCACAGCGCAACGTTCCACTGACAGGCAGAGGTACAGCACACAGGGCCATGCACATGGTTCCAGTTTTCAAACATGAGGAGAATGTGTGAAGTGGACATAGAAAATGGAATTAAAACTTAGGGTCCTGGGCCCAGCATGGTAGACTAGAAGCTAAAGTCCTCACCTTGAATGCGCCAGGCAGGGTCCTACATGGGCACAGGTTCTAATCCCAGCAGTCCCGTTTCCCAACCAGCTCCCTGCTTGTGGCCCGAGAAATCAGTCGAGGACGACCCAAAGCCTTGGCACCCTGCACCCATGTGGCAGACCTGAAAGAAGCTACAGGCTCCTGGTTTCGGACTGCCGAAGCCCCAGCTGTTGAGGTCACTTGGGGCGTGAACCAGTGGACAGAAGATCCTCCTCTCCATTTCTCCTCTCTATATCTGCCTGCCTTCCCAATAAAAATAAATAAATCCCAGGTCTAGCACAATAGCTCAGTGGTTAAATCCTTTTCTTGCAAGTGCTGAGATCCCATATGGGCACTGGGAAAGAAGTAGAGGATGAACCAAAGCCTTAAGTCCCTGTGGGACCAGAAAAAAACCTCCTGGCTCCTGGCTTCAGATCAGCTCATTTCTGGCCATTGTGGCCACTTGGGGAGTGAACCAGTACATGGAAGATCTTTCTCTCTCTCCTTCTCTCTGAACATCTGCCTTTCCAATAAAGATAAATCTTTCAAGAAAAAACAAGTTTAGGGACCAATGTTGCTACACTGGCATCCCAGCCCAAGGTCCAGCTGCTCCCCTTCCGATCCAGCTGCCTGCTAAGATGCCTAGGAAACAGCAGGCGACCCCAGTGCTTTGGTCCTGCCGCCCACATGGGAGACCTGCGCAGAGTTCTCACACTGGTTCTGGCCTGGCTTAGCCTGGGCATTGCAGCCTTTTGGGAGTGAACCAGTGGATACAGAACATCTGTCTTCAGACATCTCCCTGTAACTCTTAAAAATTTTCAAAAAGTTTACTTTGATGCAACAAACTCTGATGTCTACATGTATGGGGGTGTTCAAGAACCCCACACACAGAGAGAATAACTACACATGGCTTTCAGAATGTTTGTGCACCAATCTTTCAATTCCACTTTTCCATGATTTTTTCTGAAGTATTCTCATATATTCTGTTATGGAGTAACATGGACCTTTAATTTTTTTTTAAGTGATTTTTATTGGAAAGGCATATTTACTAATAAAAGGAGAGACATCAAGAGAGATCTTCCATCTGCTGATTCACTCCCCACAAATGGCCAGAGCTGAGCTGGTCCAAAGCTGGAAACCAGGAGCTTCTTCTGGGACTCCCATGCAGGTGCAGGGTCCCAAGGCTTTGGGCCGTCCTCCACTGCTTTCTCAGCAGTACTGTCAACCTTTTAATAAGGGAGGCACCAAATGTTCTTATAGAGAATCCAGCCGCACTCACAGCCCCCCATCCCTTCTGCTTCCCCATCTCGAGACTGCTGCACCGCACCTACCATGATGGTGTGTTCTGGAAACTTGGCACGGACGAGTTTCACGAATTCCACAAAATGTTCCGAGTACCCGTTAGCCACGTCCAGGCAGATAAACTTCACCTGCGGCACAGCTTCCAGGATGCTGCTCATCTTCTCCAGGTCGCTCTGCCCACTGCCCGAACTCACGGCCACGTGCTGCGCCAAAACACACCAGGAAGGACAGACATGAACCGTGGCATCCAGACACACCTACACCAGAGACAAGCAGGGTCCCTTGGGTCCCAACCCGATGCACAGGGGGACTGACCTAGAGCTTCACAGCAGCAGAGGTCAAGGAGATGTGTCCACGCAAGGACCTGAGCTTTGAGCCCATCACCTTCCCTGCCGCCCCCCCCGCAAAGCTCCCAATGCTTGAACCCTAACCTCAGCTAGTCAGAACAAGATGCCTCCTTGGCTTCCATTTCCTTTGCTCAGGCTCTCTCTGCAATGCAGAATTATGAAGCTGCTGGTACAAACGTGTTGTATCAAGACCAACAGGAGACACAAGGGTTTCCAGGAGGACCGGGGGGCAGGCAGTTAACTCATGCCAAGGCTGCCACTTCCCGCTCCACGTGTCATTGGGGAGCAGGAGAGGGAGTCTGGGATGCCCCCCCACACATTCCTTCCAGTTTTCAGCTTCACTCCCCTCTCCAAGAATACTAAGTAAACTCATGTCCCCAGTAACTCGGATTATAACATACCGTTACCATCTTTCTGTTTTATTACTTGGGTTGTTCATCTTATATAAATTAATCTTGATCATGAGTGTGTCCATTTAGGGAAAACACAGCATGGTTGTATACCATCTGTGGTTTCAGGTACCCACTGGGAGTGGCCACAACAGGGGTGGCCATGCACAACAGGCCACAGGAGCAAATGTGACCCTGCCCAAGCAGCTGCAGGTTGCTCCAATTCAGGCAGCAGCTCCTGAAGAAACAGGCCCAGCGTGATCCTGACTTGCACAAGTTTAAACCTGAAGCCACACAGCTTCCTCTGTAATACCTTCTCCCCCACAGCACCTTGAACCCCAAGCCTTCTCAGAAAAATCAACCCTTTGGGAAGACCTCTTTTTTACCACTCAGTGCCTTTAGCAAGTAAAGCCATGGGCCAGCCTCTTGCCTTGAACTTGAGCTGCACGTTTTCCCCTTCGTTGTCTGTCCACCCTCCCCCACCCCATCGCCAACACACACCCTCTAGGGGAACCCACAGTCACAGATGAGGGACCCGCCAACCTCCTCTGTCACCTCCCCACGGGACAGCAAGGCAGCCAGTACCTAGAGCCCAGCTTTCAGCTTCACCTCAGCCTTGGCAGGCATCAGAGGAGCTTCCTCTCCTCTCTGTGTCTGACTCTAAGCAATTTCAGTTCATAAAAACATGGGCTTCGGGGTTGGTACGGGGACAGAGCTGGTAGAGCTGGCACTTGCAGTGCCAGCATCTCACATGGGTGTTGGTTCAGGGTCTCAATCCGGCTCCCTCTGGTGTGTCTGCAGTTGTAGGAGAAGCAGCAGAGGATGGCTCAAGAGCTTGGGCCCCTGCACCCGCAATGGGAGACCCAGAGGATACTCCTGGCTCTTGGCTTGAGGCTAGTGCAGCTCTGGCCATTGCTGCCATCTGACAGCACTCAGTCATTGGAACACATCCCTCTCCCTCTAGTTCTACTTTTCCAAAAGACAACTGGGGTGGTGGGGTGAGGGGAGGACTAAAAGATAATTTTATCTTGGTGAAAAACTTTTTGAAATCCACGCATGCTTTTTCATAACACACATTTCCAGAAGCTATTTGAAGACTGCTTATGTACGAGGATTTCAAGCACTTGTGCACTAACATACTCACTTTTTAATCCAATTCTCCATGTACTTCTTGAAGCATCTGTTCACCTTTTGAAGGTCCATAGAGGCAAGTCCTAGGATTTTCCTCATATGCTGAGGGATAGATCTGCTCAGCAGGTCCCAGCCATCTCCCCATACACCTTTCTGCTCCTTCAAATCCTCTTTGCAACCCAAAGGCCTCCCCCATGCAGCACCTGTCATTTAACCATGGAACCGGGGCGCACCTGCAGGCACTCCGGGTGGTTGGTGGCAAACAGCTTCCAGTCGTCCAGGGAGTAATGCTTATGGATTGCCGTGAACATGGAGTGCTAGAAAATAAAAGGCAGCATCAGGAGGGGATGTCAGGGGACCCCGCGAGACAAAGGCATCGGGCCTGCCTGCCATGCACACTTGGTTTGCTTGGAATACGTTGCTAGAAGCAGGAGACAAAGGTGGAACCTATGAAATCTCAGAGACTCTTCCAGGAGGCAGGGGAGCACGGGAGGACATCTCAGAGTCCTTGCCAGCCCACCACGGCTCCGGCCAAGAGCAACACAGCTGGTAAACACGGCCGAGCACGAGGCAGCTCCCCTGCCCAGAAGGGTCACCCCAAGATGACTGTTTAACCAACCCTTCTGAACCTCGCTTTGTACCTAAAAGCTTTGTGTTCACAATCTCAATACCTCTTGCTGAAGCTAAAGACACGTGGTGGGCTGTATTCTTGAGGCAGGTCCACCTTCGCGTAAGCATTAAAATCCCAAGTCCGTGACCCTGCATTTGCTACTGCTGCATCAATGCTCAGCAGACAGTAAATCTCAGAAGTACGAAGGGTACTTGTCATTAGCTTCATAGTCAGCCACAGAGATTAAGTAATTTAGCAACTGCTGGACTTGTAAGGAACAAGGGCCACACAGATTCGGCCCTTGCCTTGGACAATCACCTCTCAAACTTCTCTGGGCTGGCCCATGCCCCGTCTGCAATTCCCATCCCAAGGTTCTCGAGGATTCGGTTAACTTGCATGAACTCTGCAGAATGCAGATTTAAGGATCTGTGGTCCCCACGCACGGCTCACAGTCAGTGCTCACTGATCAGCCAGAAGATGTCCCATGAGCAGAGGAAGGGTGAGCCAGTTCTGACTTTTCCACGGACTAATAATCCAGTGTCTGAATCAGCCAAGCAGTTTACTGCTCCCCAATTCCCACCCCACCACTTTTCCACAAACAGAATTCATCAGTCACCATGGCTGATGACAGTACAGGAAGGAAAAAGATGGAGACAGAAATACCACATCCCTCCAGCGATTAACTGGCCAGGCTCTGCACTGGAGCGCGGAGGGGCTGACACACCGTACGAGCAATCCTGGAGTCAGCCGGACCTCCTACCGCGGCACTGGAGCTGCTGATGTGTCCGGGAATCGTTCCCTTCTAATCACCGGCTAATAATGAACCCAGCAGCTCCTGCAGAGACCCACTGTCCTCAGCAGGATGCTCCTTCAGCTAATTGGATTTACCTTTTCACTTGGCAGGCATTGCCAACAGAAACAGACACACAACCCCAGCCCACCCGTGGCGACAAACATGCCCTATCCAGCTGCGTGTGACAAAGGTCCTACCCACCAGTGGTTCTTCTTTTGTTGTTCCCGAGACCAGGGGACTAGTTACTCCCTTATAGAAAGTCAGACCTGTAAGCCGGCTTGTCCCAGGACATACCAGCTTACTTGGGGGGAGGGGGTGAACTTGGTGGCCCTGGCAGCCTTTTGGGTTTGGAGCTGGGTTCTCCAGCCACCTGGCTGAAGGCCTGGCCATGGGGAAGGAAGCACCCTTCCTCTCCACCTCTGCCTCAGAGTCCTTTTCTGGGCAAGCAGTTAAGAAGGAAGAGATGCACTATATCAAGCAGTGTTCGTTACAGGTTTTCCACAGGATTATGCAGTGGATGCCGTAGCACTGGGTGCACGCTAAGTAAGGAGCTCCATCGGGACTTCTAGAGCAACGCTGCTCTTCCGTAATATGGCACCTGTCATAGTGTCTAGCTTCTCCATGTCTAATTTCTAAAACCATCACAGGCTTTCTCACAGAAGAACTGGGTGCCGATCCAGACCATGTCACGGCCTGCAGAGCACACACACTGTCCACCTCCTCACTGCACAGCAAGTAAACCGTCCCCTGTGACAGCCAGGCTCCAGGAGACTGGCCCAGGTGCCTCCCTCGTCTCCACTGCCATGTAAAGCTCAGGTGGGCTCCTGACAACATACTGCGGACAACAGAGGGAGAAAAATGTGCTGCTTCACCTGTGACATCACAGCCGCCATCTCAAACGTGCCCACGGTGTCCATGTTGGCCACGATGATGGGAATCCCCGAGTAGGTCTGCTTCGAGTTACGGAACGTGAAGGTTCGCTCAAGATCCACCTGTTGGCCAAAGGGGGCAGAAAAGTGAATGCTGCTCTTCTTCTGGGACAGGGGCAGCATTTCTGGAACACGAAGTGTGTGCAAAGAACAGGAAGGAAATGCTTAGGTTTGCTTAGGGCTTGGCGACATCTTCTAAAGATAGCTTGGGTCTCTGAGGAACCCAAGTATTGGGTGCAAAATTTCCAACGGAGTGGATGCGGCTGGTACGGTGGTCAAGACACAACCCACGAAGCCTGTATTCCCTCCCCACAAGCTGAGCTTAAATACTGCTCCACGTCCCATTCTAGCCAGCTCCCTGAGAATGTGCACTTGCAGGTAACAGCCCAAGTGGCTGAGTTCCAGCCAGTCACATGGGAGACCTGGGCCGAGTTCCCAGCTCCTGCTCCAGGCTGGTCCAGACCTATCTATTGCGGGCATGTGTGCAATGAACCAGATGGGACGTGTCTCTCTCACGCTCTTGTTTGTTCTTCCTTTCAAATAAATAGGAAACATTTTAGAAACGCAAACGGACTCCTCAGCACCACCCTCGGCCTGTGGAAGGCTCGGGCTCTTCTGCTATGACCCCAATCTCACAGCTCCCTCTCCTTCACTAACCTCTGCTGTCCAATGACCTTTTCCTCTCCCCCAGCCTGGTTCATGCAGCCCCAAACTCCCCCCACACATGCTCTTTTCTCCACTTCCCAGGACTGGAGAGAAATGCTCCACTCTCTGTGCCAACCCTGTCCTCCCTTCCATCAGAAACTGGTGCAATTCTCACCTTTCCCTTGAATCCACACTCCGAATTCACCTTGCAGTGAACTCCAAACCATCAAGCCCGAGACTTGGCAACCTTGGCTGCTGTGTGTTACAAATGCTGTGGGCAGAAGCCCACTGCGACCATATGGTCACAGCTGGAGAGAGGGCCTTCCCATTCCATGGGGCCTCCAACTACAGAGCCTATCAACTGTCAGCAAGCCAGAACAGCAACCCAGCTGTTGCAATCTAGCCTAGCCTAGAGCAGGATGCCAAGACTGGGTCGGAATGACTTCTTCAGTCAAGAGCAGGGCCCATACCCACTCTTATCAAAGTTTCCCCAAACCCTTCTCCCACCAGCTCCATTTCTCATTCAGGTTCACTTCTGGCAGGGGTTGGCCGACAGAGAAGGCCAGGTGAACACAAGGACAGTAGGGGACATCTGAGAAATTCACAGTGTGGGCAAACTCCCCTGCAGACTCCAGACCCGGTGGCCAGTGACCAGAAAGGCCTGGTCTCCCGCTGTGCCTCCCACTGAGCCTCACCTTAGCATGGGGAAGGCTGCTTCCTGTTGCCAATCTCTGGGATGTTCAAAGTCCTGTCTGGCATCTCTCGAGGGTCAGGGGCCCTACACTAAATTCTGTCATTTGTTTATCTGAAAGGCAGAGCAAGAGATAGGAAGAGATCTTCCACTCACAGGTTTAGTCTCCAAACGGCTATTAACAGCCAGGCCTGGCAGCCAGGGACTCCACCTTGGCCTCAAAGGGCTTGGCCTCAAAGGGCTCTCACAGCCCTTGTCCCCACCTTCCCAACGCCAGATGCCACCAGGATAATGGCTACTTTCCACACCCAGCCGAACCCCATCACTGAAAGTACACAAGACCGAGATCTCCGAAGGACAGCCCTGACACCTCGAGTGTTTATGATACTTAACTCAATGAGCGAGAAAGGAAAGGATGGTTCCCAACTTCATCCACCTCTACACACATGCACACGGAACAGGGGACCAGTTGGTCACGGCGAGAGAGACGCTTTAAGAATTCCAGGAACAAAATGTGGCATTTAATCTGCTGCAGCTGGTCAAGGCACCAAATATAGCACCTCCAATTCCCACTGTGCCAAGCCTGCTTTGAAAGGGAACACAGAGTAACAGTCTCTTCTCTCTCTTAAAGTCAGCCTGACCACTCAGGACTTCGAGGGCCCCTACATACAAATGGAGGTTTACCAGCATCTCCCTTGATGAATTCACTGTTAAAGAGTCAGGCCAGAGCCTGGTGCAGTGGTGTAGCGTGCTAAGCCTCCACCTGCAGCACCAGCATCCTATATGGTTCATGTCCCGGTTATTCCACTTCTGATCCAGTTCTGTGCTTATGGGTTGGGAAAGCATGGCCGAAGTCACTGAACACACGTGGGAGGAAGCTTGTGGCTCCCAGTTTCAGCTCTGGCTATGGTGGCCACTCAATGAACCAGTGCATGCAAGGCCTCCCTCTCCAAACAAACCTTAAAGAATTAAAAAAAAAAAAAAAAAAAAAAAAGAAGCCAGGCTAGCAGCTGCTACAGAAAACATGACATATCCTCCCACACTAACAAAAGTAATTTTGTTCAAGACCAGGAAGCTCTGAAGCACTGTGGCATGAGGGAGCCAGCCTTCCGCCCGCCCCCACAGGGCCACACCCCTTCCCTTCTCACTCAGATCCTCCTGTTCCGTGCACAGATACCCCAAGTCTGCATGCAACACTCTGTGCACACCCACCTCCATTTCCATGAATAATAGCTTCTGTGCAGCTGCCCTCTGGGGTTGCCGACGGGTGCACAGGCAGCACAGCTGGCCTTTGGGAAAAACACATCTGAAGAGAAGGCCCATACAGGCCTTGGGATCAGCTTCAACCGACACACGGAGGGTTAGCCAGCAGCCCTAGCACCCAAGGCACAAACAACTGCGTGAACCCTGTGCGCCAAGGAGAGAGAGGCGCAGCTGAAAGAGCAGCAGTTGGGTGCCTTCACCTTGATCAAAATGAACAGAACGAGCAATGCGTCTTATAGTTGGGATGGTTCACTGTCTCCCCAGTCTGAGTCAGGGATATAAACGTCCTAGAGGCTCAGCAAGTGTGGAATAAGTGAATGCACGGTGGAGGGGCTAAGCAGCAGCCTGCATTTGGCCGCTGCCTGCGCATGAAGGTGCCAGGAACAGACATGGGTACTTGGGTACATGTCAGAATCCTCCTCGGGCAATTTCCCCAACAGGCGTGCTTGGGCCGCCCCACACTTTATGAATCAGCATCTTTGTGCTGGAGACAGACAGTGTACTTTGGAGCGTCTCCCTAGGCCATTCTGACGCACACATGACTAAGAACAAGCCGGAGTCAAACCCTCTAATTTTACAGGAACTGTTGTGTCTGTGAGAAAGATGCTGATTTTCCTTAGTGATTTTCTTTGGAAATAAGGTCTCTGCGAGGGATCAGGATGAGGTCATGACTTGGATCTCCCTCCAAGATGACTGACGTCCTCCTGAAAGGGGACAGGAAGGACAGCAGGTGGAGATGAAGGCAGAGCTGGGGGCAACGCTGCAAGTCACAAACACCCAACCTGGCCAGAAAACCAGACGCTGCAGAATCAAACAGCCCTGCGGACAGCACCCTCGGGAAGGCTCCCTGGACTTGAGGAAGGAAGCAATAGATGGAGTTAAGATAGATCTCCACCCACATACTGAATCAGAATTTCAAGACACAAGCACCTGTTGCTCCAACCACCTGCCTTGTGGTTTCTCCTTAGGGCAGCCGCAGGCAGCTGACACAGAAACAAAGGTAGTAAAATCAGACCTAGAGCTTGGACTAAAACCCAGGGCTCCTTTCTCTTACCCCATTATTCTCTCCCCAGTCTTCCCTGATCCCCCCCGGCTAACCTATCCAGCTTGTAAAGAATGGACTGCAACTCTACTCAAAGGACCGCTGATGCAAAGAATCCTAATTTTTTTTTTTTGGTTAAGATTTATTTATTTGAAAAGCAGAGCTGATGTGTAAGGTAACGAAGTGAACCACCTGTTGGCTCACTCCCCAGTTGGCTAGAGCAACTAGGGCTGAACCAGGCAGAAGCCAGAAGCCCGGTCTCCTTGTCTCCCACGTTAGTGGCAGGGGCCCCAGCATTTGGCCCATCTTCCATCGCCTTCCCAAGTGTGTTAGCAGGAAGCTGGACTGGAAGTGGAACAGGCAGTACTCAAATCTACATCCACAAAGGACGCTGGTGCTACAGGTAATGGCTTAATCCATTATGCCACAATACAAGCCCCAGACACTGCAGTTTTAAAGCAGACTGGCTGCCCGTCACATCTTCCCTGTCCTACGACAAGTAGGCAGGCAATTTTCTGCTACAAATGCTCTGTACTGCCTAACTTCCAAAGTCAGAGTTCCATGAATGTGTTTCTAAGAAAACCTGACAAATTTGAGTGCTGAGGTGTATAGTGTCAGAGGTCACGAGGAAGGAAACTCTGGGAACATCAAGGAAAGACGCCAGCTTGCCCAAGCTTTGCCTCAATCAACAATCAAGTCACCTCCATGACCATCCTATGGCACGCAACTCCTCTGTACCAGGGGCTCATGGAGAGATGAAGCATGTAGGGAAATAGCCGAGAAATGTCTGCCCACCTTCAGCACCCACGAGGCCCTGGGGGCCATCTCTGCACCTGCTTTTTGCTTTATCAAGCAACTTCACATCCGTTCCATGTGAAACTCACCGGGGAGATCTTGCAGGAAGAACTTTCACTTCCAAGGGAGGGGATCACTCCTCCTCTCACTGCCTGATGATCCCATTCCCCTCCCTCCCCGCCAGGGTTTGGCTGGGAGCTTTTTTTTTGCCACTTGCTGTCCCAGCCAGACCCTGCACCAAGGGTGTGCCTCTCTCTCTTGGCTCCACTTGAACTTGTTACCTGCCAGGCCCAACTTCAGTCACCTCACATCTTGTTTCACTGTTTAATTCATTTATAAGGCCGAATGAGTTGGAAGTCTCGCATTTGCCGATTCTCTATTTAAATGGCCCCCCTACAACCTGGACTCACACAAGTTGAAGCCAGGAGCCGCTGCAAACTCCATCCAGGTCTCCCACAAAGGCAGCAAAGACCCAACCAGTCAGGTTATTACTGCTGCCTACGTATGCATGCATGAGAAGCAAGCTGCACTACGGAGCAGAGCCGAGACGCAAAGCCAGACACCTCAACATGGGCCATGCATGCTAACTGCCAAATGCGCACCCTACCTACCACTTAGCTTCATACTGGCATCCCGTCACTCTGCTATCAAGATGACCTTCTGTTTAGGGTGCAGTCAGAAATTTATACCTGCCTAACCACTTCAGGCAAATGGAGGAAACACTGATAGGATTACAGACACTTAACCAGAGCTTCACCATGGAGGCAAGGAAAGGGATTACCGGTGAATGGCCCCATGCCTGCAAGCTAAACCACAGGGACCAAGCACGCAGGCCAATCCGGGCTTTCAGGCACACAGCTGACAAGATGAAATCCCTTCACAAGGGCACCAAGTGTGTCCGTGTAGCTGCTCATTTAGACCACGACATGCCACTCCATGCTGGGACAGCATTACTAGTGGCCATCAGCCCAAATCAGGAAGCCAAGTGTTATATGACCGTGTACTATTCCCAGGAGAGAATAACGCATTCTACTGTCTAAAGGTTCAATGTTCTGTGTTCGCAAGAGGTTTTGCTGCTTAGACATAATCTCCCTTGAAATGCAGTCTTGCAAAAAAAAAGAAAAGATTTATTTTTAATTGGAAAGTCAGATCTACAGAGAGGAGGAAAGAGAGGGAAGATCTTCCGTGCGTTAATTCACCCCCCAAGCAGCCACAATGGCCAGAGCTTCACCAATCCGAAGCCAGGTGCCTCTTCTATGACTCTTACGGGTGCAGGGTCCCAAGGCTTAGGGCTGTCCTTGACTACTTTCCCAGGTCACAAGCAGGGAGCTGGATGGGAAGCAGGGCCTCTGGGATTAGAAGCGGCGCCCATATGGAATCTCAGCATTTGCAAGGTGAGGAACTCAGTTGCTAGGTTACAGCAAACTGCCCAAAAGCAGTCTTGTCAAGCTTCCCCCTTCTAACTACATACAGAACCAAACAGAGGTCACCTAAATTGTCAGTGCACCCAGCATTCCCCTACATTTTCCTCTGGGTCGGCCTTAACATGGACCACAGTTTATACTTCCGGAGTTGCCCGCCAAGCTGCGATCATTTCCCGAAGGCTGCCTGGCTCTGGAGCACCTGAGAGGACACCACAAAGGACAGGCACGGAGTCCTGCCCAGCCTCCAGGCAGCCCAGGCATTCAGCTCCTCCCCACCCCAGCTCCAGAAGCCAATGCCGTTGCTTGCAGAAGGTCGCTCCGGTTCTGTCATTGGCCAAGGCAGGAGACTTCCCTAAACCAAACAAGCCCTGGGCTGGCAGCAGCCGGCACTGCGGTCAGGCCTGGGCAGTTTCTCCGCAGAGGGAATTTATTTATGGTGCTGTTTGTGGAGCTAGCTCAGCCTCCCGTCTGCCCCTTGGCCAGTGTCCTGCCGGGCTCTCTCAACAAGGCCACAGTAGTGAGTACACAGCGGGGCTTTAAAGCCTGGCCTTCCTGTCCCCCCTATCCCCAGGCCCCTGTTCACCTGTTCCCAAGGCACCAATCTCAAGCCGAGTGCGCCCTCACCCTAGCCGAGCCAGCCACCCGCACGCACCCCAGCGTCTTCGGCCTCTCTGGGGCTGGCGACCACCTAGTGCCACCCGGAGCTGGTCCTCCCAGACCAGCTCCCAGCAAAGCAAACCTTGGGTGGAGTGGGGGTTGGGGGAGGGGGGCAGGACTAGTCTTGCATAAATGGCCAAGAAACCCCACAGCTAACCCCAGTGCCGAAGCAGCGCCACGCGCCTGTGCCAAAAATCACAAGAACCTGCGGCTGTTTGTTATTATTTTTTTTCTTTTCCCCTCTCCCTATTCCTTTCCCTGCGGACTCTGCTGTTTTCCTGCGCTCCCTCTCTGGTTCCCGCCCCCATTCTTAATAAACCAAGCGGTCACCTGCTCTTCGCCGACAGAGAAAGAAATTCTAATTAATGACCAAAATGCGGCCGGCCTTCCCCACCGTGCTCAAGGCGGTGGAAAGGCAGCCACGGTCTCCCACACTCTCAAAACGCACCGAAGCGCCACAGGCAGGACGACCCCGCGTCCCTCCCCGCCCCACATCCCCCCGGAAAGCCCAATTCCACCCAAGGCGGCTTTGGAGTGGCTCCCACCTCGGCTCGGCTCCTAAGGCTGCTGCGCTTGGGCCGGAGCAGGACATCCTTGAAGTCGAGCTTGAGGTCGGCATCTATCCGGGGCATGGTGCGGCAGGCGGGGCGGGAGCCCGGCGGCTCTTTCCTGCACCGGCGGCGGCGGGGGCGAGGACGCGGGGAAGCCTGCGTGCGGCCGGGGGGCGCAGCGCGGGAGCCGGGGTTGCAGTGCCGCGGCCGGGGGCGCAGCGCGGGAGCCGGGGTTGCAGTGCCGCGGCCGGGAGCTCTCGCCGTCCGCTGCACGCTGCGCTCTTAAACCCGGCCGCGCGCGCGCCGTCGGTCCCACGCCCCTCGCGCCCCTTGCGCCGCGCCGCGCTCCGCCCCCGGCCCCGGCTCCCCGGAACGCCCCCCATGCCCCGCGGGCGAGGAGAGGCGCAGAGCTCCAGCAGGTGCTGGCCGGCAGCGTCTGGGATGGCTTGGGGCCGGCTTTTTTGTTGGTTTTGTTTGTTCTTTCGGGTGTTAGGGGCTTTGTTTAGTTCTTAAAAACTTTGAGGTGTGCTGCGCTCTGCCGCGCAGACCTCGGGGTTGGAGAGCCCTGAATGCCCTGTGCCCCCCCCAGGCTCCCAAAGTTGTGAGGGTGTGTCCAGTTCACCTGTTGGCTGTGCAGTCTTTCTTAGACCTGCTGATTGTGCTTCAGGGCCAGCTGGCTCCGCACCACAAGGCCAACTGTAAGAGCTTAGAATAACCGCCTGATTCTGCTTCTGTATATTGCTTTCTGCTGAGCAAGAGTAGAGCCATGTTAGAACAAGTATAGAGAAGTCATTTCATGAAACAAGTAAAGTTTTAGTTTCCCAGAAATGAGTCAGACAATTACAGGAATAAAGAAGATAAAGAAGCAAGGCCAACGCAAGAATGTAATGGATAAGAAAGTGACAAGGAATACAGACTGTCAACAATTGAGAAAATATACAAAGTTAAGGGACCCCCGGACTATCTAATCTGAAAGTGAGAAATGCTGACTGTTATGCAGAGTTTATGATTTTACCCTATAAAAACTGTTCCAAAATGTTTGTGAGGCGCGCAGAGTCCTGGGTGCCTCCAGAGACTCTGTTGCCCATTCGCGAATGCTCAATAAAATCCTCATGCTTATTGCAGCCTCTGCGTTTGACTTGTTTTGCCAATGACGGTGTGGCTCCCCTCCACGGGGTTGGACTCTCCCCGAGTCTAACAAACAAGGACCCGTTTTTTTTATGTATATAAGGAAGCTGGAGGAGGTTGGGCGGAGGCTCACTCACCTGAGGAACTCCTCTGTAACCCTCGACCCTGGGTTGTGTCCCACGTGGAGAAGCTTGTTCCCATTTTCCAGCTGGGTGACCTTGGGACAGTCACACTCTCAAAGCCTGCGTTTTTCTCATCCAGAGGAAGAGGCAGGACGAGCTGCAGGCCTCCACTGGATTTCTGTGAGTTACAACGTGTGTGCGCGCTCACGAATTTGCCCTTGCACGCTTAGGACCCCAGCAGCCTTCACTCTGGCTCCGCGTGCGCCAGCCATGTATTCAGGCTCACATGTTACCTTATGTTCTTTGTGCTGTAGACTTGCAAACTAGATCAGCAACTCCACAGGGGCATGGGTTATCAAGTTTTCTTGAAGTCCCCTGCAGGCTGGAACTGCTGGCAATGGATTTCATAGACACAGCGCTGTATCATCTGGACGCAAATGTCTGCCCGGGATAAAGGTCTTGGCCCATCCCACTTGCTGTTGTTATCTTTACCCCACAGGAAGTTCTTCAAGCGCCCTGGGAGGGAGAGGTATCTGAGAATGAGGGAAAGTCACCACAGTCAGTCCAGCCAGAGAAATGTGTGACTTTTATCAAATCATGAGATTCTGCTTGCTTGCCAAGTGGTGAGAAGGCGCCTAATTGTGGTCTTGAGTTTCCAAATTAAGACCAAATAAAGGCTAATGACTTTACCGCGTGGCTGTTTAAGTTATTGTCCCCAGGGGGAAAAGAAACTTGTTGCTAGGCAGCTGGGAGAAGTGGGCCCCCTTGTTCTTTATGGTTTACTCTTGCAACCCAGCACACCATCTCCCCTCTTGGTTTCTAGTTCATTCGCTTTTCCATTTGAGCAGACAGGAGTTGTGCTGATGCCCTAGTAGGAACGGGCGTGTCCATTCCTGAGATGAGGTGGGACAGTGGTTACCGGTGATGACCGTGGGAACTTGCGCAGTTGACGGCAAAGTATGAAGCTGAGGAATGAACAGAGAAGACAGTGTTAGCACGATCTATTGAAAAGAATGAGACAGAAACTTCTGCCTCTGAGAGTGCTGGCGGACCAGGTGTCCCGGAAGAGACCCATAACACAGACTGCATTCAGACCCATGAGTGTGGGTCCCTGGTGTGTCTCCTTCCACATGCTCTCTGGGATACTCCAAGGCGGAGGGCTTCCTGGGTGTGGAATCCTCAAAACTTCTCAGTAGCCCCCTGGGTGAAGGACTGCCCTGAACTGCTCCCTGCCCCGGGGAGTGGATGGAATGCCTACACACAGGGCTACAATGCAAGACTGATTAGATATGAATTGCTCTAAGCACAACCTTCCTGCACAGTACTGCCTGTTGAGGGTTTTATCTCTGGAATAGCAAATGACTCCTTCAAGCCAGTGACCTTAACCTTGTCGGGCCAGCTGGATCACTCTCTCAGGTCAGGATACACTGGGCTGAGGAAGGCAGTCCAGCAGCTGGTTCTTCCTCCCAGTCCCTGCTCCCTCATTCCATTGCAACCAAGTTTAATGTCTTTAAAACATCTCACTGGGGCAGCATTGTGACGTAACCTTAAGACCACCACCTGCACTTGCTACTCCACTTCCTACCCAGCTCCCAAATAATACACCTGGGAAGGAAACAAGCAATGCCCAAAACCTTGGGCCCCTGCACCCAGGTAGCAGAGCCGAATGAACTCCTGGCTCCTGGCTTCGGCCTGGCTCAGCTCCAGCTATTGCCACTGTTTGAGGAGGAATAAAGCAAAACGAAAATAAAGGAAACCTTTCAAAACAACCATATCTGTGGTCCATCTTGCACACATAGGTGAATATCTTCTAGGCTGGCCGAACATAACCTCTAAAACCATGTGGGATACATTCCGCTTGCCCACAGTGAATCACCCATTGATGTTTTGATGGGATCTTGCGGTTAAGTATCCCTCCATCTTAGTTCATTAGAGACAGGATCTGTACTTCTCTTTCTTTAAATGTCTCTATCAGAGAATGGGCTGGGAACTTTCCCTTGCTCTAGTTCCTGAAAGAGCTTACACAGGATTGCTGTCAGTACTTTAAATATTTGTTAGAACGAACTGCTGCATTGACAGTTATGAGGAATGAGAAAATATTTTAAGTAGACAAATATCTCTCAAAATCCAGAAATAATTAAAACTGAGAGTGAAGGGCTTGGAGATCATTCAAAATTTCAATGTTCGGTATTTTAGGGCTAAGAAAGAAGTCGCCCTTATTTGATACTTTTTATGTGCTTCTAAGAAAGATTTGTCCCTGCAGATTAATGGAATAACCTTGTAGTACCAGTTCACTGTGCATATCTGATGATATCAGGATGATAAGATGTGTATCAGGATGATAAGATGTATATCAGGATGATAAGATATAGCACACCAAGTTTCTGCTGGAATCTTAAAGATTTATTTTTATTTTTTTATTGGAAAGGCAGATATACAGAGGAGAGACAGAGAGGAAGATCTTCCGTCCGATGATTCACTCCCCAAGTGAGCGCAACGGCCGATGCCTTGCCGGGCCGAAGCCAGGAGTCTCCCACGCGGGTGCAGGTTCCCAAAGCTTTGGGCCGTCCTCGACTGCTTCCCTGGGCCACAGGCAGGGACTTGGATGGGAAGCGGGGCTGGCGGGATTAGAACCGGTGCCCATATGGGATCCCGGGCGTGCAAGGCGAGGACCTTAACCACTGCACCATTGCGCGCGGGACCCATTCTGCTGGAATCTGTAAGAAGCAGTGAGGTCTCCTGTCATGCCTGGGGATGCTTGGGAGGGGAGGAAGGGGTAGATGGGGGTGGAGATGGCAGGGATACAAATTTTGTTTGACAGTCTGGGGAGAAGCCCTAGGTTTTGCATTCCTGACAAGGGCCTAGGTGAAGGCCACCGATGGGTAGCAAACAGTATCTGTTAGAGAGAAGTTTACTTGATTGCCTTTCTAAGCATTATTTAAAATACTTGAAAGTATTGAAGTTTGCGCCTGGCACCCAGGATTATTCTAGTGTCCTCTCAAAGTGACTGTTAGGATTTACCAGACTTGGAACGAGGTTTTTCAATAAACTGCATAACCTTCACAAATAAGTCTTTCTTTTTCTTTTTTTTTAAAGATTTATTCATTTTTATTACAAAGTCAGATATACAGAGAGGAGGAGAGACAGAGAGGAAGAGCTTCAGTCTAATGATTCACTCCCCAAGGGAGCACAACGGCCGGTGCTGTGCCGATCCAAAGCCAGGAGCCAGGAACCTCCTCCAGGTCTCCCACACAGGTGCAGGGTCCCAAAGCTTTGGGCAGCCCTAGACTGCTTTCCCAGGCCACAAGCAGGGAGCTGGCTGGGAAGTGGAGCTGCCGGGATTAGAACCAGCGCCCATATGGGATCCTGGTGTGTTCAAGGTGAGAACTTTAGCCACTAGGCCACGCCGCCGGGCCCTATCATCTCCTTTTTACATGTGAGGGAATAAGGCTCAGAAATCATGCCTGGGTCATTCAGTCAACTGGGTAGACCCGCTGTCTCACTAGGAGCTGCTGCTTCTCCCTGCTGTCTTAATGCCTGTGCATTCTATGTCACAGCCTGCCATGGGGTGTACTAATGTGTTCCATGACTGTAGCCAAATAACAGAGGCTGGGCGATGCACACAGAAGGTTTATTTAGCTCTCAGTTTGGTAGGCAGAAGGTCCAGGATCAAGTGGCCTTATCTGGCAAGGCACCCTTGGATGGTGCATCATGTCATGGTGGGAGCTTGTATGAGAAGCAGAGATCACGTGATGATATGGGAGACCAGAGAGTGTGGGGTGGCCAGGTTTTACAGAACAAGCAGGAGTCCCATTGGAACGAATTCCTGCATGACCTAACCATGTCTCCCTGGGCTCTACCATGTTTCAAGTCTTCCACACTGGGGACCAGCTTCTAAA